AGGTGCCGCGGCCAGAGCTAAGAGGCAATTGGGCGTGCAACCGAGTCACGTGGCCCCTCGGGGTTTCCATAGAAACGCTTCTCTGCGGTCCAGTCTCGGAGGTCTCAGGTTGGCGGCGATGGACACTGGGGGCGGGTGGCCTTGTTTTTTGCTGTCGCCGCCGCTGCCGCCAACGATCTTCATCCGGGTCCTGCGTCAGGTCCGGCTGGGCCGGACTTGCCTGTGCGGTGGGATGGGCTGGCTGTCAGACCAAGTGCCCTGCAGTTGGCAGGAGTATGGGGCGCAGTGATGCACGCCCGGGCGCCCAGCATCCTTCTGCTTGTCGGAGACATTGCTTCGGACCCTGCGCTGCCCGCGGCTGCGTGCCTGAGTCGGGAGCCCCTTTCCCGGGGTTGGGACTGCGCTGCGTGCCCAGCGGGAGGTACCAAGGACGGAGTCCAAAGGTCGCGTTTTATCCGTTGGTGCTGATGACAGCACCGCGGCGGCACCTGCAGAACCTGAATTAGGTATCGTATCCATTGGGAGGGAGGGGAAGTGTCTGCGCAGGGGCTGGGGTCAGGTGGCAAAACTGGGGTGAACCTGTGGTTTGTGGGGTAGGGTCGGTCACTGACATTTTAAAATAAGTAGTTATTTGGAGCGAGAATGCTAGAAAAGCTATGCTATGGGCGAGTTACGTTCTCCGGTTCTGAGGGCGAACACAACGTGTAAGAATGAGTAGAAACCAGATCTTTAAGGTTTATATTTGTGATTTCAGATTTGTATGATCCCTTCAGGCCAGCCTTTTATTTTATTTGACATCCCCATTTCTGAGCGCAAAGCTCTTCCTGAGGAGGGAAAGGCACTAAAACCGAGGAAATGGTAAGTTGTGCTGCATGCATAACAAGGAAGTATAAATATTGTCACAGTAAAATTAGCTTGGACATTTGGCTGGACACTCAGATGGCTTTATGCTTTCCTGACATCCTATCGGATGCGGTTTAATTCCACCTCTAGCAGAAGGCCAGCTGTTGTCCTGTTCAGGATCCCCACCCTTGGTTTCCTGTACTGAGTATATTGAAAAGCACTGGGCTTAGAATTAGTAAATCCTGGCTTGAGTCTTGACTCTCTCACTTGATCGATGTGATTGAGGGACAGCGGTTAAACTTCTGACTCTCAGATTCTTCACTGCGAAAGTGGGGTTAACAATGTGTACATAACAAGATTGTCCTGAGGGTTAAGTACAGGGAAGTGTTTTTGCAGCTCTGAAATTCTACATAAATATGAAATGCATGGTACCTGTACATTGATTTGGGCACTATTCATATAAATTGCTTTATGATACTGTGTGTTCACCTCGCCACCTGGAAGAGATGGGAGGATACTGGAGGGCAGAGGCTGTCATATTTCTTTGGTATCTTCCTTTGGGTCTGGAAGGTACTCAATACATTCAGGTACTCAATTATTCCTTGATGAAGTGAATAAAATGTGAAAGGCATGGCAGTTTGAGAATCACACTGAGAATAATGAACCAGTAAAAAGAAAAGATGTCAATGTCAAATATTTGTTGCACATATACGCGTTTATATGTATATATATATGTGTGTGTGTGTGTGTGTGTGTTTTCTTTTTTTTATAAGAAGGAAAAATAAATTCATGCTAGTTTTGCTGTTACACCTCAAACTACAAAATACCTGGCCTCAATGAATGGTAAGTGTTAAGATGAAAAAAGCATTAAATTTGTGAATGAAAGACTTGAACAGAAAACATTTTCTGATGGATGACAACCTGTTGTGGTAGAAAGCATTGAGTCTATAAGACTTCAGCAAGGGATAGCTTGAAACAAGTGACACCAAGTCATTTACTGAAAGTAAAGGATGGTTACACAGTTTCAGGAATAGGCACAAGAAAAAGGGCGAGAACAGTACGATAGAGAGAGAGAGAGAGAGAGAGAGAAATAGAGACAGAGACCCTTTAGGAATGCATTTTCTTTTCTAGGGAGGAAGAAGAAATGTGGCATTTTTCTTTTCCCAATTAAATTACTTTTCTAAAAAATATTGAGGTAACAAAGCAACATTTCTTTAAATTAACGTTCGAGTTAATGAACAAACATGCTGGTAAGAACTTCCCCAACGATTGTCTTAAGACAGCAAAGGAAAATTTTCTACCTGTTGGTGGTCTTCATTTTAAAAAGTCTTATTCCAAAGAATCAGATCATTACTATGGTGAATGACATTATATAACTTAGAATAAGGATTTTTAATATTCTTTTTTCTGTTTCAATTTTTTTGCTAAGTTTAGTAAGGGCTAAGCAATATACTGGTTTGATGCTTCTAAATCAATATATTTTTGAAGAGAAAATTGAACATTAGAAGCACTATTGAGAGCAAATGGAAACAAGGATTCAAGAGCTAATACATCCCTTCTCTTACATTTCTATTCTTTTGTATTAGGTCTTACTTAGGAAATTTCCTTCTTATCTTCATTTTAGAACTGGGAAAGAATTATGGAGTAGAAATCAACTTAAGGGAACAGTGAGGGTAATTTTAAAAATCGAGTTGCTCAAGGGTATAATTGTTTTTGATTGCTCAGAATTTTGCTCTATATGTGTTAAATACAATTAATTCTCAGCCACATGATGTGTATTACATTTGAGATGTAATAATGCCAAAAAAATGCGCTTTTCCAATGCAGTGTTTTTTTTATTGTCTCACACGAAATACCTTGTACATAGTAGGTATCCAACATTTCTATTTAATGAATTAATAACCTGACAAAATAATTTTGGAATCATATATAGAGATTGAGGGTTGGTTTTTTTTTAAACCTCACCTGAGGATCCAAGGATATTTTTTCATTGATTTTTTAGAGTGTGGAAGAAAGGGAGGAGGAGGAGAGAGGGCAGGGGCAGGGAAAGAGGGGGAGGGGAAAGATTGACATGGACTGGAGAGAGCCACCTCAATTGGTCACCTCCCACTCGTGCCTAGGGATCGAACCTACAACCCAGGCAAGTGCCCTTGACCTGGAATTGAACAGAACCCATCTGTTCTCAGGCCAATGCTCCAACCACAGAGCCAAACTGGCCAGGGTGAGATTGAGTATTTTTTAATGAACACCTTAATTACCTCCCTAAAGCATTAAGGAAATCTCTGTGTATGTGAAGAAACCCGTCTTTAATTATCTTTTCATTAGAAAATATACATTATTCCACTTCCTTGCAAATTATAAATTTCTTATGTTAATCATGGTACTTCATTCCTTGTACATAATAGTATTCTCCCTATTTTAATTTTCCAAAGAAATGCTTATCCTTGAAATAAAGGATCCACGGGGCTTTAAGACATTTTTTTATTGTGCGAATAACTTGGTTTGGTTCATTACTAAAGTAAGACTGAATCAGAATTTTGAGGTTAATGCTGCATGAGAGTATATAAGCTTCTTTTTATTTCTGTGATGATGCAAACAGCAAAAGATCATTTTAGTTAGAGAGTATTTTGATAAAATTATCCTATAATAGGTTTTTTCTTTCATATATTTTAATCCAAGTACTCTTACCTTCATTGTGCTTCTTTTCCCCAGACTTGCCACTAAATACTTAAGAAACCAAGACCTCAAATCCTGCAGCGTGGCAGGATTATTATTTGAAATGGCAGTGAACTCAATGTTAATCAAATATGTCAAACATGTGTTATAAATAGAAAATAAATAAATTTCAGTTCTGGTGATTTAATGATGATTTAATTTCATGATTCTCTAGCAACATCATTACTACAATAGACAAATACTTTTTTTTTTTAGCATATTACCTATAGACTATATTATGGTTTAATGACTTTACTTAATATCAAATGAACTGATTCTGTGTTGAAACCACCAGCCTTCAAAACATCAGGTTTTTTCTTTGTGATTAATTTTAGCTTTACATAATTTTATGACTACACATTGAGGTAGAGTAATAGGATGGACTATTTTACAGTGAGACCTCTATTTCTTTATATATCAGTACTTCAAAGACTAAAAAACTTAAATCTGTACTCCTGTATCAGGAAAAAATTTTAGTGCTAAATGAAAGAATAAATCGTGTGTGTTAAACATTTTTGTGAATGGGACTATATCTCTACTTTTTTTTTACCTGCTTATGATAATATAAAAGGAAGCTATGGATTTAAAAATTTACTTGTTCCATATTCCTTTCCACTACTGGGCTCTGTTATTAATGCTAACAGTTGTTTTAAGGTTACATTTCTTGTCACAATATACAAGCATAATATTTGAGATAATAACAATTAACATTTTCTTTTCCAATATTTACATCACTTTTATTTTTCTTATCTTATTGCATTAGCTAGACTCTCAAAACAGTATTAAAAAATTGGGGAACAGTGGGCTTCTCTTCTTTGTTTCTGTTGTAATGGAAATGTCTTTGGTATTTTACCAGTTTATATTTTCTGTTGCTTCATGATCTTTAGGCATGATGAATGGAAATTATCAAATGCTTTTTGGGAGGCTCTAATGATAAAAATCATGTCGTTTTTGATCTTTTAATTTATGAATGTAATGAATTATATTTCTATATTTTTCTGTACTGAACCATCCCCACATTTCTAGAATAAACTCTATTTGGTTACTATTTTAATTGCTTGGTAAATTCAAGTAGTATTTATTTTGTTTATATGATTTCAGAATCTATATGTATAAGTCATATTGGTTCATAATTTTATTTATTTGTGCTGTCTTTATGTGGTTTTGATGTTAGGGTTAGTCTAGCTTTGTAAGATGAATTGAGAAGATTTCCACCTCTTTTTTTTTCTGTGCTCTGGAATAGTTTGAATAATAGAAAGTTTCTATGCTATTATTTCTTTGAAAATTATAGAATGTGCTCACAAAATTATCTGGGCTTGCTAATATTTTTAGAAGTAGATCTTTGATCATATTTATCTTCTGTGATTATCAATTTATCTTCTGTGATTATCTTCTGTGATACATGATTATCAATTTGGCTTTCTTCTTTTTGTCAAATTTAGAAGTTATATTTTCCTAGTAAATCATGCATTTCATCTAGATTGACAATTTATTGACAAGAAGTTGCAAAAAATATTTTCTCACAATTATTTTAGTTTCTTCCATGACCATGGATCAATGGCTTTTCTCATTGCTACTATTAAATATTTAAGCAAAATATTAAAATCAACATTTTTTTCTCCTCCTAACCTGATTGTCACAAATTCTAGAAACATACTTTTACTTCTTATAGAAAATAGTCATCTCAGACTATAGTTTTGATAGAATTTGAAAGATCTTACAATTCCTATCCTTTTCTATCATCCTATTAATATTTTATTAATAATAGCAACCACTTGATGAGTGTTTATTGTTTCTTAGACACTTGGTTAGCAAGCTCTTTACTGTACTTATATAATTTAATCATTTGTACGCCATAAGCAGCGGACCTTTTTTAATGAAATTCAAGATATCTTGGCAGTTAACTGGTTAATCCTCAGATTAGCTGTAGGGCCTAGGAATTAAGTGT